CCTTTGAAAATAGTTTTTAAAAGAACAACCTTTTTGATAAAAGGATCACTTAAAACATATGCCCAAAATGGAAGAATTCCAAGGATGTATAAACCATAAGAAAAATGCCCGAGCAAATGACATGGAATTACAAGGAGAGAGGTAGAAGATGTGACTAAATGGGCAGGTAGTACTAGACCTTTCTGGCTTACTCCAGGTTGCATAGAAAAGTCAAAGATGATTTCCAATTTCTGTAAGCTTGCTTGTTGCCTAGAGAACCAATAGTAGAAGCAGGAATAGAGGTAAGGAATACACTTATGAGACTAGTATAATAATCCAAGCATGAGGTTTCTATGCTGTCTAGGATAGGTAACAGTAAGGGTTGAGTAATGGCTGGTAGAAAACGGATTCATGTATGATTCATGTATAAGACAAGTAGCTAAAAATGGATTTATGATTTTACCCAACAAGAATGGATTGCTGTGGGTAGATGAAAATTGTGAAGTTGGCTTTGAGCCTCACTAAACAGCATGCTAAGAATTGAAAAGGAACACTTAAATTTGAGATGCATTTTTGGCACAGTATACATACATAATATATTTAAAGAGATGAAACATAGGAAGATTATCCAGAAAGTGAATGAATAGAGAAAGCGACTAGGGTTTAAGATCTGAAGCAGTCCAAAGAGTTATTATCAGCAGAAATCTAGAACTGTGATGTGCTAAAAGCCTACCAAGAAAGGTATGTGACACAGTAGAAAGTATTGTCAGTAGGATAAGAGGAGAGTCATTGTGTGTCACTAGAGTATGTAGTAGGACTATTATAAAATGTGCTATAAAACCTTATAAAATGCAGGTTTTATAGCACAGTATTGATAAAAGTTTGAATGAGTATTCAAGAGAACATGTTACAAGAAAGCCAGAGACTGCATGTGCAGAAATCCCTTTTGAAGAGATTGACTACACAGAATATCACAAACACGGCTGAAAACGGAAAAATCAATGTTGACAAAAGAAATAATTTCAAGGTATGTACTAACAAGCTAGACCCTGTTGGCTGTGACATTTGGAAAAAATTTTAAAAAATATGTTGATCAAATGTTTTTGCGTATGAAGGAGCCCGTGTGATAGCTACTCCACACAGAAAGGGAGGACTCAGAACTAGGAACTAGGGAGAGGCAGGAAGGCAGGCAGTATGCAAATGTCTCCTGTGTCAACTAGGTAAATATGGTACTGAAAATGTGACATTTATCTCAGCATTTTTATTGCTCTGTGAAGTAAGATACAAAGTCATCAATGGGGAGTAAGGACAAGATAAGAAGCATAGTGCTTGTTGAGAGAAAAAGTGTGAAACAGCCATGCAGAAGATTATGTGAAAGGAATCCCTCCAGCTCCAGTAACTCAGCTCTCACAAGGCCAAACCACCTGATTCTTCCCAAACAGTTCCATGAGCTGGAACACACTGCTGAAGAGGGGACAGAAAAAGTTGAAGTGTAGTAGTGGAGGACTACTGAGAAACAGTGTTTTTAAGGCATGGCAGGAACTGTACTCATGAACGCACAACACCTGTGAGTACTGTGAGTATACGTACAAGACCTGCATTATAATAAGCTATCTCTAATTCCAGCATTTACTTGGGTTTCAAAACTGTCTCATTCCTAGCTCAGGATATATAGTCCATTAATGGCTGTTGAAGGAGTAAGAGTCAGTTTCCTTAAGGGATGTGGCTCCTGGCAAGTTGTTTATACTTCAGATGGTAGGCCTATCCTATCCACAAAATGTTAGCACTAAGTAGTCTCAGCAAATTTAAAAATAAAAAGCACATGAAGTTAGGAAGACACAGTGTTGGTGTGGATAAGAGTGACACTGGATAGTAGTCACTTGGTCATGAGATTGATCAAAATGTGTTATATCCATCTATGAAATTCTCAATCAAACAAAAAAATCCAACTATTTTACACGTATAATTTCAACATGTGGCCCTGTGTAAATTTGAAGTTCTCAGGAGGCACATGTGACTAATGGCTACCATATTGAATGCAGAAATCCTGGTAAACACAAGGGAACACCAACCATGAGTTTTGTACTAGATAACAATACTGGGAAGGAGCTCCATCTTGCATAGGAGGCATTAAATACAATCAGAAAGTGGTTGGTACCTCTTATAACATTTGTGACACTATTGCACCAATGGCTAGATCTTTCCAAGCTGGTTGTGATTGTTATATGAGGGTTAACATCTTAGTAAAACTGATCATTATTCTTCTCCCTCAGCATCATGCATATACTTTCTAGAAACAAGAAAGCTAGCCAGTAAGAGTGATGATTCCAAAATGTACCAACTTGACTTTTCTATTTTTTGTCTCAAACGTGATATCTTCGCTAACACAGTCTCGATCTCATGTTCTGGAAGGCAATTTCAATAGCCTGTAGTGTTGTCTATTTACTCTCACTGACCACTACTCAAAACAAACAAACAAACAAACAAATTTAAAAAAAAAACGCAACCCATTGGCTATTCTGAACAATGAAACTGTGAGAGAGATAAATCACCATGCCTGAGCTCAGGTTATACTACAAAGCTATAGTAGTAGGGACTGCATGATACTACATGAAAAACATAGCATATTTTAATTAATTTCATCTGTTTAAAAAGTATGCTAGCTGGGCAGTGGTGGCGCACACCTTTAATCCCAGCACTTGGGAGGCAGAGGCAGGCGGATTTCTGAGTTCGAGGCCAGCCTGGTCTACAGAGTGAGTTCCAGGACAGCCAGGGCTACACAGAGAAACTCTGCCTTGAAAAACCAAAAAAAAAAAAAAATGTATGCTAAATATGCTCTTCAGTGGGCTTTTAATTATACTTACTAAGCTCACAATTTGTATGAGAAAAACAAAGGATTTTTAACAAGAAAAAATTATAGAGAATAAACATATTTGTTCCCTCTATTCAATAAGTCTTCATAGAAACAGAAGGAAGGAAGGAATGTAAAATTATTTCTTGAATAAAAAATATATTTACTTCATGCACCAAGCACACTACAGTTCCATGGTCATATTTCTTAGCAATATCCTCATTTGCCTACATTACTATGCCTCACTTATTCCACCTTACAGAAGTACTCGGAGCAGAAACAAGGTTGTGCAGGGCATGGCTGTAGAAGTTCACCATCATCAAGAGTTATAATGTCCTTCTTGCTTATCACACATAATGCACCATAGAGCTTTGCACATGTACTTTCTCTACAGTACTGTTCTATGGGCTTCAGCCTCAGATTAAGGATTAGTATTGCTGCACATAAAGGACCAAATAAGTATGTCTTATTTGACATTTTGTGTCTACTCCTTCAGAGCCTATGGGTCAAGGTGACATGTCACAAAATTCATGTACATTGAGAGTGTCACTGAGTACAATCAGAATATGAATTGTTAATTAAAAGCCCCCGTGCTTAAATTTTTAACAAGCCATTGGGGATTTTCTTAATTTTATAAACAATATCTCAATAATGTATTTTACAAAAATTACAGTAGACAAACCAAACTCACTTATTTATAGCTGGTTTAAATCACAGCTAATTATAATCTTAAAGTAAGGATAAATATCAGTTTTCACCCATTCTTATAGTTCATGAATTTGCTTATAATTGAGGGAGGAAGACCCAAACCATAAACAAAGCTATTGTGGAAACTACTCCATTGATTCCGGTGCACACTTCATGAAAGACAAAGTGTGTGCCACTAGAAATATTAGTAACTTTTTTCAATGATGTAAAAAATATAAATAAATAAATAAATAAATTAAAAACAAGACAATGAAACAAACAATAAGTAAACATAAACCTTGTTTTTCCCCCCAAAACTTTTGCCATCTATTTAATGAGGCACCAGTCAACATGGTTGTCCTAGTTTGCTTTCTATTGCTGCAATAAACACTACCACCAAAAGCAACATGGTGAGGAAATGGATTATTCGGCTGACTGTCCCATCACTGAAGAAACCCAACACAGAAATTCAAGGCAAGAACATGCCAGCAAGAGCTGAAGTAGAGACCAGGGAGGAACACTGCTTACTGATTTGCTCTCCCAGACTTGCTAAGATACCGTCTCTATACAGCCTACACTCATCTGTCCAGGGATGGCACCATTCACATTCGGCTGAGCCCTCTTACACCGATTATCCATTAAGGACATTCTCTCCACAGACATGCCCATAGGACTCATTGATGAAGGAAATTCCTCAACTGAGGGTCCTCTTCTCAGGTGTGTCTAGGTTTGGGTCAACCTGACAAAACCTACCCAGCACTGTGATTTATAGGGATTCATCACATTTTTAGCTGTTGCTTAACAAAGCATACTTTCAAGTGTGTTTTTCTCAACGATTTAACCTATAAATAGCACAAAAAGTAAAAAAAAAAAAAAAAATGCACCATTAAGCATAAATTGACTCTAATATGTTTTGTCTATATATTTAATGTATATTTATTACAATAATTATCTCATTTTCATGGGAGCTTTGCTCCTGGGGGATTGAAAACTCAGGAAAGCTATTTTTAATGCTAGAAAAGGGAAGAAAGTGGGCTGCACAAAACCACTGGTCTAGCTAGCTGCCTCTGAACTGCAGCTGCCCTGGCTCTGTGTGGTACGGCTTCAGTCAGTGAAGGCAGTTGTCTGCAGAGATGCTGGGTTGGAGGCTGCAGTGACCGAAGGGCTCATTGCAGTATTTTGGTGATATTTTGTGAAGATGTAGCCAGACGTTGAGAGGGAAATGCAGCCACAGTGAGCAAGGCACAAGGTAAATATAACTCAAATAATGACCAAAAAAAAAACTTTTGAAAGGGCAAAGGAGTTCTTGTTGGGGTAGGTGGAGGTCTCTGAAGATTGTGAATATCTTGCTAATCTCTCTTTTGGTTTGCTTCATATCTGCAGCACTGCTACCCCTATTCTTTCTCTCTCTGGAAAATTCATATAAGCCAGAAGGTCTCAAAATGCTCTTTTCCTCTTAGACTCTCAGAAAAACAGCATCAGAGATTGTTACATTTTTATTGTGCATAACAGACAGATAATGGCAGAACGAGGCCATGCAGTCAGATTTATGTCTAAACACCATTCCACCTGAGTCGTACTGAAGTACATGTGCAAGACTGAAACAAGGTAAAGAACAATAGGACAGGTAAATGTTTGCTTCGTCTGTGGGCTTTGCAATCTACTGACTGGAGATGATTTATCCACGTGGACAAATGGAGTCACTGAGCACCGAGCTTCCAATTCAGTCTTTTCTACTTCATCCAGGACAATGAGGGCTCTAGATAAACGTGCTAAGGTATCAGGTCAGGCGTGTTCTGGTAGATGTCTAGGGCTCTTTTCCTTTCTTTTCAGTCCTTTAAATTGTTATCATTTGTCTTTCTGTTAGAAAAAAAGCAGACTGAAACATTTCTCACTGCCAGCAAACAAGCATGATACAATTTACTATTCTCATTACTCACAAATGAATATTGCAATAGCTATTATTCTCCTGTTGGAAAGTAACAGAAAAAAGAAAAAATTTAACATGCATGTGTGAGACAATTTATTGTCCATCTCATTTGAAGACACATTGTTGATGCTAATTAAATTGTTTCTCAGCAAGAGAATGTGTTTTGTCATATTACTTTCAGAAGGTAGAAATTGACATTTAATTTTCACAAATGAGCATATTATTGAGTTCTGTTGTGATATTGCACTTAAGTGTTATGTTTATTCACAATTGTCTAAATGAATAGTAGTGTTAATGATAAGAAATATCAGTTCACATTAAGAAGTTTTTTTTTTCATATTTCACACATAGTTATATATCTTACATCTCTGGCAAACAGCAACATATATCCTGTCTGGTTCCAGAATGTGTTTGTTGATATGGAAAGAAATTGAAGACTGAACTCATGAGTAGAAATGTATGCTTCAGGTCCTGCTGATGAAATGCTTACATAGTTTCATATTACAGAAAATCTTGCTGTGAGAAAAATCAAAATGAGATATTTTTCTATTGCTAACTTACAGTCCTACATATAGATTTTCATGTCTGGTTATTACTCTTATTATCAGAAAGTCATAAAATTAGTAATTAATTATTATTATATGACAATGTGGTCATAGAACATGAAAAAAGAGATGCACACGAAGGTGCTTACATTTCTTAGATGCTATTGCTAAAATAGTTAGGTGTTATTTGCTCATAGGTTAACGTTTGTAAATCTTCTAGTTAATCTCCCGCTACATTGACCAGGTAGGTATTGAAAAGAACATGTGGAAATAGTCACTATTAAAGTACTTATTTTAAAGATCTAGATTTTCATAAGCCATACTATCAATTGCATTTCTACGTATGATAACACAAGATAATGGCATGTGTGTAGAACCACTGTTTACATAATAGAGACATTGCTATCTATGAAAAGGTGCAATAGCCAAAATGTAATTAGTTCAAAAAAACATAGAAAATAATATTTTTAAAATTAAGAAAAATAAGTGACTCTTTCTTGATATAAATTTAAATTGTATGTATATGTATATGTCAGTTTATAAGTCTATGTAAAGAGTATATATATAAATATCTGTGTTTATATGTATATACATAATTTTTAAGAGCATATACATTTTACAGTAAAACCAGAGACAGAAAACCAACCTAGTGAAGAGTTACAAAAGCCAGCTCTGCCAGTCCTTGTTTCTGTTCAAAATCTGTAATCTTTTGTATAACTCGACTTCCCATCTTTTCCCTATAATATGATTTAGAGAACATTAGTGGCATTTTCTTGTTGTTGTTTTATTTTGTAATGCCTAGTATTTTTCTCTGTTATTATGCAGACTTAAATAAATTATCTCCCCTGGTCTAAAAAGAGACTATTTTGATGAGTCCCTCTACCATAAAAATGTATTCCGAGTATCTCACCATTAAATAACAATGTTTTATGCAAGGATTTATTATTGAATAAACAGAATTGTAGCTGTCTTTTTTCTACAATGTGTGTTCTTCTTCCTTCCACCCTTCTCCACCATATTTTTCCACCCTTTCAGCCCTCTAACACTAGATAAGAGATGGAGAAGGATAGAGAGGAAAGGAAAGAGATTCATGAATAAAGTCGAGGGTCAAAAGTGGGGAACATCATCATAAAACTACTTCCTGCTGATTGGGAACATCGAATTTCTTGAGGCAAGTTCGATCTTTGCTGTCAGGATATCTAATTTCCTGTTTCTTCTTTGTGCATGACTTCTTAACAAACCACGACCAACTACAACCAACCACAATCAAAAACAACCAAGTCAACAACCCACCCTGCCTTTCAGGGACCTAGCATTTATATACCCTCTGAAAATTCCCCAGAATTCCAAATATCACACAACCACAGAGATTGTCTGCAGGTGGTAATATCATATCCCTATAATATTTATGCTTGAGCATGCATGCAGCACATGTGCACAAACAAACACACACACACTAAAATAAGCAAGTCAGTAAAAAGAAAAAGTCTAAAGTTTGACAGCAGGCACATGAGCAAAGGTATTTAAAAGGTCCCATTACTGTTTGTAACTTCCTTATACAGAGTTTGAGGAAAGGAATGGTTGATTACTAAGCAGCATAGTTGGCGTGGATCTCTATTTTGACTAAAAGGCTGAGGTTATATAAGCTTTTGTCCAGTGCAACTGTTCTTTCCCATAAAACATTTGATTTTGATCATAGTTATATGCAATATACAAATGCATAACATGGTAAATAGAGAATTCTCCCCAAATCACACTTGAGGACACACAGTTTTGCTTCATTGTGCCTTCATCAAAAACCAGTTCAGGCAGGATTTACCCTTCTAGGAAGTGTTGAAAATAACCTTTGAAGACCAACTGTCCAAGTTTAATTGTCAACAAGAGAAGCAGAAACTTGTTTTTAATATGATGTGTATGTGGCTTGTTACTAATAGGCATGCAGGAATGGGGATTGTGTTCATAATATCTTCAAATAACACACTGTTCAAATAGAGTCTGGGGCTCCTGAGTACATCACTATTATTGATGGCTGTGAGTGTAGTCTAAGTCAAATGAAGTTTAAGATTAGTAAGATATTCTGTACATTTGCTATCCTCAAAATAGCCAGTTAAGAGTTAACAGGGAAGGAACAAGACTCCATCTCTATGCTTTTTTATATTTGTTTTCAAGGTTCTTTTCTTTATTTTTTTCTTTTATGATCACTATTTTATTTTCCAGTTTGGCAGGTTTTTTATTGTTATGCTTGTTCTGTTTTTATTGCTGATTTTGTTAGACAGGCTTACCTTATATTAGCTCTGTTTGATGGAATCAAAATTGGGGGTGAGAAAAATGCATCACCATAGCAAGAGAAGCCATTGCCCCTGGTGGAGGGTGTGGCCATCTTGAGAAATAATGGGGTCCTTAGCTCTACTATATAGCACTGTTAGGAATGGTAGCATTGAAGGTGAAGTTGGACAGCACCTCCTGAAAGACTAGCCACAAAGCACAAACCGATAGTTATCAATTACTAGGATACTGGGAAGCATTAGAATGCTTCAAACATTTGAATTTCATTACAGAGGGGTCAGAGCTTCTCCTTGAGAAAGAATATGAATCAGAAAAAAAAAAAGAGAAAAGGGAGACTTGAGAGGCATCTGAAAAAAGAAAAACAACATTGGCACTGTGATTGACCATGTAGACAAAGAATATGCAAAAGAAGAAATAGGCAGTGACATCCTTCAAAGGTAGCCTAGCCTTTACATTAGAGCAAGAGGAAATGCCAGGTTGCATAGTATCTTACAGAGTTCAGCACTCAGTCACATGACCATATGCAACTGCAGGGATGGTGTGGCCTCTACAGGTCAAATATGTTTAATCATGATTTTTCTGTTTATTTCCAGTTTGTGCTCTATAGGGTAGTCAAAATAACAGCCCAATTATAATCACAATTTAAAACGCTCTGTTGGACAGTACAACTTAACGTCTTTAATTTTGTTTTGCAAACGCCAATAAAATTTATGAAATTTAACCTAAAAATAGAAATGCAACTATGGCTTTTCTGTGGAATGATAACTTAAATACAATAGGTGTATCCAGGCTCAAACTTACCAAGCAAAATAAGACAACAAAGTGTTTCCTATCAAATAAGAAAATTTATATTTTTAATACGTACCATGTTGGACTTTAGATTTTTTTGTGTCCCCTTACCTTCTGAGGCAATGTCACTATTTTTTGAGTAGACTGTGCTGGAATGTATCCTGTACTATAGCCTCAGAGCAGATTGGCAGGGTGAGCAAAGTCCAAGTTCTCCTAGGAAGCTATGCCCCCAACCAAAAGGCCGGTACTTTAAGGCTAAAGTTTCATTTTCAGTAGATGCTGAGTTAAATATCTACAGGCTTTGATTAGCTTTATGAAGCTACCAAGACTTTGTGCTTCCCAATTTCTGTGGTTAATCATATTTAATTTACACAGGAAAATACAGAATTGTGTGCATAAATGGTTGGGAATGTGCCCTCTTTATTTTGCTTTTTATTTGTTTGTTTGTTTGCTTGCTTGCTTGCTTGCTTGCTTGTTTTTGTGGAGTGTAGGTTGGACAGAAATCACATGACAAAATAAGTAAGATTGTTCTTCAAACTTTTGAACATATAAAGAATTGTATTTACAGCTATGGCAGTCTCTCCCATGATAGGTTGATTTACACAGTCTCTGACTCTGAGAACTTAATGGACCACATCGGATTCCAGAACGTGTCACACACCTAAGTGGTAATATGACGGTATAAATGCTGTACTTACCTTTCTCTGTGTTGTTTTTAAGGAGTTCTCTCAGTCACCAAGTTATGCGACTTTTTCCAAGTAGGTGTTTTACTTTCATGATGGCTTTATCTCCCCCTATTGTCCAAAGAGATAAAATCAAACACTCTAGAACCAGCAAGGCACTGTGTTTCTGCTATTTGTAAGCTGACATGAGGCAGAAGGCAAGCATCGGGAGTTTTATTCATTCTGGTCTCTTCGTGTTGAAACAGGAAAAGCCTTTTCACCTGCCTGCCTTTGAAGAAGTACTCAGACTGCCATGGCCTCTAAAGGTAAGGGTAAGACTAGGCAGCAACTAAATTTGCCCTCATTTATACTATAAACACAAGTGCATGGCTACTGCGGTACAATCAGTGAGGCTGGTCCTTTAAAGGCTGCTATGTATTATTGCTCTTGAACACTGGAATTTAAATTATTTTACACCAAGATTTACTTTGTACTGACTTCATACACACACACACACAGACACACACACACACACAGACATTAGTCAAAAAAAAAGTAAAGGTTCAAGCATAAAATGTGTTTTCATTGCAGTGAATGTAAACTTAAGCAAAATTTTTTAAAAATGCTCTAAAGCAAAATTAGAGTGGAGATATTTAGTTTAAGCGCAGCAATGGGATGAAATTCCACATAAACATTTAAATATGTTATTTAAACATTTTAATTGCCCATTTGTTGTTCAAAACCATGTGACACACAGTCCAGTGAAGAGCAGAACATCTCAGAGTAGCCTCAACTTGACACACTAAAGCTAAATATTTTGCTTACAAACTTAAAATATTTCAAAAACTACTTCAGTAATGAATTCAATATTAAAAATCAATTAAAATTTACACAATATGCAATTTAAGTAAGCAGATCAATTAGGGACATTGGGGGGAAAGGGTAGAGCTTTACTTAAAATCCTGAAAGTATCTGTTAAAATATCTGTTTTAATTAAGCAGTTTTCAAAACAAAAGAGACATGGTTTTATTGGGGGCAATAAGTTACAATCACAGTGAAATATTTCTAAAAACTGAAATGATAATCTATTTTATTCAATCATCAAAACAAATCATTATTAATCTCTACATGATAATGAAAAGTTTCAGAATGAAGAAGTTTAACTTGCAAGTTGAGGGAAGCATTTAAAACTAATCACACAAAAAAGATGACTTTACAAATATATGCTGTCCTCCATGATTCAATCCAAGTAATGCATATACATGCCTCCTTGCTTCATAAAATACATCTCTGACATCTAGTCAACAGATTGAGTAATCTTTGTGCTTGGCATGCTTATTTAATGTAGGCCAGTCCCTGAGAATCCTTGGGAAAGCTTAGAAAACAATTATAAAATATATCAGAGAGAAAAATCTTGAATTTTAATATATGAGAGCATAATGGTCTCCATTTGAAGACAAATAAACACAAACCTTGACAAACACTTCTTGAACACTGACACTAGCTTGGTCCAAACGCCTCTCGTTTTATAAATTGAGAATAGCAACAGAGTGGCCTGTGAGGGGAAGAGTTGCAGCGTGTGTAAAATATTTATGGTTAGTTATACATTTTTAAAAGAGTAGATAGAAATTCAAAGCCACATAGTAATTCAAAGGAGTTTCTTATTCATCTGGTGGTCTGGGGCTTTGAAGAAAATGTGACTGGAAAGCAATATTATGATTAATCTGCTAAAAAGAAGTGATGTTCTGTAATGAAAAAACTCAATACTAAAGCCAGAGACAAACTTCAGGGTAAAAACCAACATCCCTATGGCCAGCTAAAAATATTAAGCCCATGGTTTGGATAGAACATTTATTACAAACTCAAAGTGACAAGAAGATGTCATTTAAACAGGAAATTTTGTTTGGGCAATTGCCTTATCCTCATTTTTACTTAAAATATGTCTGAGGATATGCTTTTCAAAAATATTTAATGATATGACTAAGACTTCCTAATGATATCTGGCCTATGAAACTGAATTATCGGGTAGCATCACCTCAAAGATTACAGGGTAATAGGGCATTTTACAGACAAGTCCAAGGCAGTCTGACCTGGAGACCAGTAGATTCAAAGCAATGTGTATCATCTGGAACTTCTTCACTTGGTAAAGATACCTATATTGAAAGGCATCCGTTGGCCCCACTGGTAGGTCAGAAACCTAGTGGCTCAGGTCAGGGATACACAGTCCACTTCCAGACATTGAGTCATGTACTGTGCTGTGTTAAAGCAGCATAATTTATAAGATAAACGTGGAGTTATTTGCTGGTCTTTTAAAAAGAAAGTGTCAGTAAGAGATAACATAATATTTCAGCAAATTTTGTTATTAATTTAAAGCATATAATTGTGGAATATTGCATGTTCACAAGAAATACCAAATATAAGTTCTATGATTTTTTAAATGAGAATACCCTTATGTAACCACCACTAACACCAAGATAAGGAATGCTTCCAGCAGCTAACAATGTTTCCTTTCTGGCTAATAATCATGCATCTATCTCCATCCCCACATGAACTACTCTGGTGCATTGTGTTTGTGAACTAGTATTTTCTAGAGCATGGGTTTGCCACTAGTTTGGTTTTGGTTTCTGCAAAGTGACAACAGTTGCTATTGGCACGGATGTTGGACAAGGTGTTTGTTGCAAAAACAAAAAACAAACAAACAAACAAACATTCCAGCTGTTGCTATTGTAACCATTAGCGCCTCTCTGATTTTTAAAAAATATTTTATTTATTTTCATATATTCCAGCTGTTGCCCTTTCTGCCTGCCCCCTCCCACTGTTTCTCATCCCGTTCCTCCTTCCCGTAGCCTCTGAGAGGGTGCTTCACACCACCAACCAGGCCTTCCTTTTCACTGGGGCCTCAAGTCTTTCAAAGATTAGGCACATCTTCTCCCGTTGAGGCTAGACCAGGCAGTCTTCTGCTATATATGTGCTGGGGTCCTTGGACCAGTCAGTATATGATGCCTGGTTGGTGGCTCAGTCTCTGGGAGCTCCCTGGGGTCCTGGTTAGTTGAGACTGCTGGTCTTCCTATAGGGTCACTCTCCCCTTCAGCTTCTTCAATCCTTCCCATAATTCAACCATAGGGGTCCTTGACTTCAATTAAATGGTTGAGTGTAAGTATCTGCCTCTGTCTCAGTCAGGGGCCGGCGGGGCCTTTCAAAGGATAGCCATGCTAGCCTCCTGTTTGTAAGTACATCACAGCATCAGTAATAGTATCGGACCTTCATGCCCGCCATGAGATCGATACCCTCCCACACCCTATAGCCTGCCTGTCTCTCAGGTCAGCGGTAACCAGGGACACAGGTGAGACTCCTGCCCAAATACCCAAATTCCCCTGTGATTTTAAGATAGTTTTACATAATCTTCCTGGTCTTGGGGGTTCCCCCTTGGAATTCCCTGCCAGGGTCTTTCCTTAAGAATAAGATGTGTTACCCTCTTCCTTTGTGTCTGTCCCAGAGGTCAGGGCAGTTCTCGAGGGATCCTTGTGGGAAGCCAGCTGCTGCAGCCTTATAACTTACAAGCTCTATTACAGTGGAGCCAAAGGACAAGTTTCTTCATTTGTTTAATCCTCAAGCTAGTCTTGTACAGATCTCAAATGCCACAGATAAATGCAAACTTAGCAACTCGACATCAATATGAATAGAAACCCAGCCGGTTCCTACAACCTTAGGGGTAAATAAATAAATGAGTCATCTGGCAATTGCCCCTCATTAACACTTCCTGTATGCACAAGCTTAACAAGCTTGTCGTTACTAGAATCAATTTATTCCTTTGTCCAAAGGGCCATTCATCTGGTGTCTGTGTTCCTTCATCCCTGTACAGACTATGCTTGAGTTTTCTTAATGATGGGAATTTATTACCGCAGAAAGAATCCCAGTACTTTTTAAAACTGTATTTGCAATTTAAAGATGCAGAAAAATACCTCAAAAACAGAAAACGTCATAAATCTGGTATCATTGCAGAAATAAGACTATCATAATTTATTACTAAGTATTTATATAGCACCCCAAATTTACTATATGTTCAACAAGAACTCATTATCAAATCTGATGCAGCTGTTATAAATTTACTCTTTGTATCCAGAACTAATTTCTTTACCTCGTTCAAGTATGTTACCTAACCTTATTTCTATCAGTCATGAACTACATAGACCACAGTTCATAAAATGCTATTGCCTAGTAGTGGCAGAGCCTGTTTAGTTTTAACACACTCTATGACCTTCCCCCAGCAGTGAAATCTCCTGATGATTGATATAGTCTCAAAAGTTTTCATATTGCTAAGCAATGTGATGTTTAATTGGGCTTACTTTCATAATGAACCCTATTATATTTGAAAAAAGAAAAACCTTGTCATTCACTTTGTTGTGAACTAAAGGCTAAGTTAAAGCAATACAATGTTGACAGACCACTTACATTTATAAAACCTTGACACTCTGTGAGGATTAGAACTGAAAACACTGGCAGTCTATGGAAAAAGCATAGTATCTAATGAGGGAGATAACATAATGATACTTATGAGAACTGAATAAAGAAACAGTAGTAGAAAGCTATCATTTATATTTTTAGATAAAGATTCTGCCACTTGAGGCTTATGCATAATATTACATAGATGAGTGCACAACAAATAGGAAATTTACAGGTTCCAATGTGAAATGACTGAAATTGAAGTGTATCTATTGGGAGCAATACTGATATTGGTTGATATTTCTAAACTAAGAAAATGACCTTCATGTAATTCTATAATTATGCTTAGACACTCACAGAGAATCTGTGAGCTCCCTCAAACCTAAGCACTTTAGCAGTGAGTTTTCCAAGGACACCTTCATACTGTTAGGACTATTAGCTTTACCTGGGATCTTATCAAAATGCATCTTTGCCAACCTCCCACCCTAAAATCTTAATCGACAACTGGAGAGAGGCCCAATGCCTATTTAATAGGTCCCTCAGGTGGTTCTGATGAAAGCTGAAGTGTGTGATTCAAAGTGAGACTAAAAAAATTAGACAACGTGTCTTCATAAAATAAAAGGCAACCCCATAATATCCAAAGAAAGGAAGCTATGCCTTAATGGGTTGTCAAAATTGAAAGGAAAAGTTCAAGTCTAAGGCTATGCTTTTATGAGTACAGGTTAGTGAGGGCCTGTTACCATTTATTTTGCTTTTGTGAACTATGGTCCTTCATCTCTTTTTTAAAAATGCTACGTGTACAATGTATCTATCTATGGGTCAATTATTTAAGCCAAGTTATTCAACTTTTTCTCCCAGCAATCACAGCATCCTTCTATGTTCCTTCTTCCCTGACTGAGAGCATTGAATAGCGAAAATAGAGAGAAATGCACCAAAATGAAAGACATCAAATGAAGGGATGAGCTGATATCTAAATCAAATTTAAAGAAAAAAGAAAAAGAAAGAAAAGAAAAATTACTTAAAAGCAAAAGCAACCTAAACTTTAAAGTACACATCAAGATATTTATTTTCTCTTGCAGATTCCCAGAACCAAAACCCTAGAGGTCTGCCTAGTTTTCTTCCTCGAGCTACAAGCTCAGATCAAAACTCTCAAGAGGCTTCTTCCAATCCCAGGAAACAAGCAAGGCAGCAGCCGGATGTCTCTCAGCCAAGCAGTTTCCTGCCAACAGCCGCTCTCCCTCCTGGTCTAGAGTATTTAAGCCAGGTTTGCATGTTTTCCATTTCTACTAGTGTGGTTTTTTTTAAAGCAAGTCAAATTCAGTTTCTTGCTTTTCAACCAATAATTTAATGGAGTAGAGAATGCATGGCAAATCATGAAGTTATAAAATGCTGATTTTATTGATTTCTATTATTTAGAAAGAATTTTACTCCACTTTATTGTCACCTATCCTTACTGACTTGACAGAGTGGCCTAGACTAAACAGTCTTCACTTTGTAATCTAACACATTTATCTGACTTCTGTTTGTGTCTCAGTGTGTGGAGATAGATATTCTCAAGGAATTATCAGACAAAAACCACGTACAGCTATTAAATGAAACATATTTATTGAGCACTTACTGTGTTCAAGGTGCATAAGAAGCATAACATCTATCCCATGTCACTCACACATTTGGTAAGTTAATGGTCAAACAAAAAAGAATGTTGATTTGTAAAGTGCAAAGCACTGTACAAAAGCGAGGAAAACACACATCTCTAAAAAAGAAGGCAGTTGTGGAGGCTTCTGCAAAGAGTTGAGACTTTTCAAAAGATCTCAAAAGTATTGTGAAAGTCGAAGGGAAAGCAAGTTACTGTCTTCTGATGTATGTGAATCTTCAGACCAACTTGCTTGAATGATCATATTGCTACTAGGTATGGTTGCTGTTGTAGTCTCAGCAGAATGGACAGAGCTTCCAGCCTTGTAATATCTCTGTCATGTGGCAAATATGTAGCCATTGCTGTTCATGTATGTGTATATTGTTCTTGTTTTATCAGATTATCCTACACAAGATTAAAAAGACTCTTACACTAATATTGGAATGTCAGCACATATGCCACCAGACGTGTCTGTCTGGCATTCCTTCAAACACAAAGTCTATCTCTTTTATCAAAATCAAATCTCTGTGTTAATTCCCTTAAGGTACAAGAGAGTTCTGTTATGCCTGATAGGGTTTTAGCTGCATGTAGCATATGTTGCTGGGAAAATGTTTATAATTGCAGATGCCTTCTCCAGAAACCCACTGGCAGACAAATGTTCTATAGAGACTGGCGAGTGCAGGAAGCTAGGAAAAGGCGTTGGAAAAGCTAACCTACCATCTTCCATCTGCAAAAAGGATCAGCTGTAATAGCTGACGAGAGTTGATTAACTGCTGCAAGCTGTTTGGGACTGTTGTCAGACAAGATTTTGCCAAATATAAAAGTGATATACCAGCGCCAGAGGGCTGGGGTATGATGATCACATATGGCCACCACATAGTCTTCATTCACCCATGAATGATGACACACCGTGGCCAGATGCTTAACATGAATACGTGTCCTAGTGTTCGATAAATAGACCTAAGACCTCATGAGCTTCTGTTTTAAATGCAGTGCGTTTTCTTAAAACATGCCTTTGCTGATATTTTTCAGAAAACAAAACATGCCATAAATTGTGAATATTTTATTTCTAATCAGTATAACTTACTCATTCTGTACGAAAAAGAATATGGAGTTACTTTAAGCCTATATGTACAAAAAGATGAGGAAACATTTCAAAATCAAATAACTTTCTATTAAATGACTTTGAGTTTAATTTTTTATTGAAAATATAATTTTTCTCACAAAATATATCCTGATTATGATTTTCTCACCCTCTACTCCTCCAAGTTCCATTCCATTCCCTCTCCCTTCTGTATCCACCTCTTTTATGTTCTTCCTTGGACAACTAACAGTCTTCTAAGGAATTATAATGCAATATGATATGTTATATGATAAAACCAAAAGGCAAACACATAGGAATTTTAAAAAACAAACAGAAGGAAAGAGCCTAAGAGAAGACACAAGAAACAGAGACCCATTCATTTACACACTCAGGAACCCCATAAAAAACATTAAACTGGAAGCCATATCATATACACAAATTGTGTGTGTTTGTGTGTGTGTGTGTGTGTGTGTGTGTGTTAAAATGTTTTAAAAAGAGGAAATCCCTGATATGATATGTTAGACAAGGAACCTCCAAAGATGCTGTTGAGTTCATTTTCTGTTGGCCATCTATTGCTGGGCATGAAGCCTACCTTTTAGAGTAGTTTGTTTCCTCAGTGAGACTCCCTTGAGGAAACTAGATTTTGATTTGCAAGTGGTTATCAATTGGAGAGTGCTTCTAGATTAGAGATAGGGACAAGTGACTAATTCTCCTTTGAGCTCTAGGGCACCACCTGGTGCAGGCCCTGTGTACACTGCCTCAGTCTCTGTGGGTTCATATGTGTGTTGAACTTGTTGACTTAGGGGTCTTGTTTTCCTGGTATTGTCCATCTCCTGTGCCTCTTACACTCTTTCTGCTTCCTTATCAGTAGGGATCCCTGAGCCCTGAGCAGAGGGATTTGATGGAGATAGCTCCATCAAATTTGATTTAGGGCTGAGTATTCGAAGGTCTCTTACTCTCTGTGTGCTTGCTGTGGGTCTCTTCTGCATTCGTACCCACTTGCTGAAGAAGGAACTTCTCTGATGATGGTTGATTAAAGAACTGATCTGAACAAAGCAGAATGTGATTATGAGTCACTTTATTGCTATGTTTTTGTTTTCTTTAAGAACAGTATTATTTGGTTTTGCCTTAGGTCCCTGAGCTATCTAGTCTGAGGTTCTTGGCCACCCAAGATGTGACCAAGTTAAGGTAACTTACCTTAAACTCAGATACTGTAACCCTGACCACAGGGCTCCATTGCTAATTTGCTTCTTCTTAGAAGTAACAACCACGTTCTTTCTGAAGTTGCTTTCCCCTTCCTTGCTCACATCTCTCCATTTTCTGCAGGGAAACAGAACTACTGTGATACACTCAAAATTTACTCCTCTTAAAGATGCTTTGTCTTTATTGTTCATTGGATTTTAGGGTATCTCAAGTCATGAATGACTTCCTTAAGAAACATTTGCCTTTTTAAAAGAGGCCACATCGTATTCTTTCATCAGTGGTAAGACAATAAGAGGAAATGTTCTACCTCACCTCAGAATATACAAGGAAACTGAAAGAAAAAATACACAAACTCAAATTTCCTGGAATCATGGATTGACAATCAATACCATACTTTACCAAAATTACCTTGTCTTAAAGATTCCTGACGACTTTACATATATGGTTAGAGAATACAGAGAAAACAACTTCAAGATGGGATTTAAATTGAAGCATTAGAAATGCAGTGATCAGCAATTCAGTAAAGGCTCACGACTTGGATTTCGTGGGACTAGGAATGAGGAGGATTAAACTACAGATACAAATAAATGAGGCTGCTCTAAAACAAATATTTTATATTTCATTTTCAAAGGTAATATATGGGCTGGTAAGATGGCTTGTGGGTAACAGTCATCCACTATAAGCCTAGCAACATGGGCTCCACCCCCAGAGTTCACATAAAGAACAGAAACAACCCCTAAATTGTGTCCTCTAACTACCACATGGGCACTGTGGTATGCGCAATATACATCATGCACACAAACACACCCAATAATAGCAATAAATTCCTGAACAGCTATTTGAGTTGCATATTTCATTTTTAATTACCTAGGCCAAAGGTTGTGGCCAATATTTGATAGCAGAACACTTTCTCTGCTTCAGTTGACTTTTCGTTGGTGTCTGAAAGTTTTCTGATTTCCCTTGTCTGAGGAAAATAGGAATTAGAGCTATTTACAAAACATCATCTTTCAGCTTAAACAGATATTTATTCCTTTATAGCACAGTGCCACCTGAAGGAGTCAGTGGACACACAGGGACTGGAAGAAGCTGGATGTCCAATACTCATCCTGTGGCTTCATTTCCTCAGAAGAGATTTGAGGACATTTTAAAATGTCTTCTACATTATTGTTCACACATTATTTTAAAAATCTCCTCCAAATAATTTGTACTCTCACCATCCTTTTTCTTTATAACACAGCATAAACACTGTTGCTCTTCTTACTCTTGACACTTCTGCCTTAGGACTTTAAGAGTTCTGTAAATTATTAGTTAAACAATAACATTTGATGGATGGAGACACCTCATACATCCTATAAACAAGACATGGCTTCATAGAAAAATTATAGGGATATGATTTGAGTAATGAATTCTTCCTTACCTAATTTGTTCTTTAGTTGAGACATGGCATGCATTTTTTCATTGATCTAGAATAAAGTAAGTTGATTTTGTTCTCAGAGTTTGCTTCAGTTTCTGTGGCAATGTCTTTGTCTTATATATGGTGAGTGTTCAAAACATTTTCATAAAAATGACAGGCTTCATGTGGCACAGTAAGGGCTGTCATGGAATGGTTTTCACTTCATTTGTATCATCCTTTTCAGCTGGACCTGATAATCATCCATCAGCAGGTGGAACTTCTTGGGAGTAAGTACATCAGATTCTGTATTTATCAAAACTTCTGAAAAGGCTTTGGTATTCAGAAGATTCCTTACATCTAAAACATTATAAACAATGTATAGATTTAGATTAAATGATTGCTTGAGCAATTTTTAAACCAACTCTAAATTTATTAATTTTAAAGAAAGTGTAAGTATGAAAATAAGTCTTTCATAAGTGACATTTAAATTCTAATAAATTTAATCTTTAAGCAATAAATAATATCCCACAGATATTAATCACTGAAATTTTTAGCACTCTAATAAGGGAAATCACAGTTGATGGCATATTAAAATTTCATTGACACAAATGGTATTGTTTTATTGCTTCCCAACTGACTCAACAAAATACGTACACAATTTATCCTAGGAAAATATGTAAAGATGATTAATTAAATTTCAAATTGCTTGAGTCCTTTCTGTTTATAAGATCCTATATTACGCCAATATATGTCAGAATTAAACTGGTTGGACAGCATTACTACTGTGGATGTTAAGAGAAATTGTAGATATGGTAATAAATGCCACTGTGAATTGTCCCAATAACTTGCAGAAAAATAATAGGGTTGTTACCTGAGTAATGAGTCCATTCTTACACAATTTGTTCTTTGTTTGAAAGGCGGTGGAACATGTTTGTTCATAGTTCTAGAATAAAATTAGTTGTTAGTTTTGTTCCCAGACTTTGCTTTGATTCCCGAGGCTAAGTCATCAAAGTTTCCAACATGGAAACAGATGTGTCTGAAGCTAAAACTATCAGCTCAGTAACTCTACCATGACACTACGTTCTATTAATACTCCTTGACTTTTGACAAGTGGTGATACGAATCAGAGCATGTCTTCATAAGATGTGTTTTGCAATAGTGATACTCGGCACTGAGACCTCCAACAAATATGAGATCAAAAACAGCTTGGGACAAAGAATTTACTTTGCAGTGGAAGAAAGCATCTGTTTTAATCGTAATGTGTGTTCCACGCTGCGAGCCTGCACCCTGAGGATCACAGACAACTCAGGTCGAGAGGTGATTACAGTGAACAGGCCCCTAAGGTGTAACAGCTGCTGGTGCCCTTGCTACCTACAAGAGGTTGGTCACTGCCCCTCAGCATCTTTTCTTTTTAAGATTATTCCTTTAAGTGGCACTCATCTGGAACTACACGACAGTAAACCTTACAGCTGTTTGAATTTATATCTTCCTTTATAGAGTTAGGAAAACATGAAGATTTGATGAGGCACTTTTTACATTTGTAATCTGAAACTATGGTAGCTACCATGAGATTAAATGGTAAAAACAGCTCATGCATCCTATAAACGAGACATAGCCTCCTGGTCTGTGTATTACTCAAATAATTGTAATGGCTACAGTCTCACCACTATACAAATACAGTCATCTTAGACAGTAGCAATGCCAGGAGAGGCCATCACTCTTAACCTCGTCCACTGTGTACTCTTCCCTGGGTGCTATACTCAGAATGATACTGAGCATTTGCACATTTAATAAACCCATGGTACACAACAGAGTGACCTTACTCAATCATTTTATTTTAAAATATAATTGTCATTGTTAGTAGAATTGTAACAATAGCTCTCATTGATGTAGACTCAATTTGATCTGATGTCTCTGTGAGACAGAAGAATGTGGTTTCATTCTACATTCTGCATAATACACACATACACATATGGAAAATGCTAAATATATCAGTGAAATGAATTTTTGTCATTTCCATGACAAAATACAAAATACAAAATCTCACTTTGCACTATAACACAAAATGTAAGAGTAAAACACCACTTTACATCCTAAAAATGCCTATGTATAATGGCTTTTATAATACAACAGTTATATCATAACAAATATTGTATAGATATATGTTGATATTCTTCCGTGATTAATGAATTATTACTGTAGAAGATCTGATTTTATTATTATTTCTCTTACAGCTAGAAATCCAAGCCCCTCCTGGTACTATAGTTGGTTATGTTGCACAGAAGTGGGACCCCTTTCAGCCCAAATTCACAATCCAAAATGCAAACAAAGAAGATATTTTGAAAATCGTTGGTCCTTGTGCAACTTGTGGCTGTTTTGGTGATGTGGACTTTGAGGTATGAATGACAAAGAAAGTTTTGCTTAGGTCCTAAGTTCTTGCAATGCAATTCAATTTATAAATCATCAAGATCATAATGTAGCACTTAAATACATTTTAAGAATTTCATATTAGTATAATACTCTAATAAATCCTGTTCCATGCTGATATATTTAGCATATAATAGCCACTACTCCAGAGATTATAAAATTAAAATTCTTGGCATATTTGCTAAATACAGTGATAGACTGCTATATCCTCTTACCTATAAACATCAGGCATATTCATATATATATATATATATATATATATATATGTATATATATGAGAGATAAATCATTTTTATATAAAGAAGATATATATAAAGAATTTTTTATTTATTGTGATTATATATATTTATATATTGTGAATATATATATATATATATATATATATATATATAGTGATTGTTAAAAACCATGGTAGCCCTATGTTTGATGAAGCTGATTCATAGGGAGTTAAAGAACGTGTGGGACAGAGTGAATATGTATGTTATCCTTGTCCTTTTCTGTTGGCCTGCTTGGATGGACATTTAATCCCATTCAGGTCTCATTTAAGAAGCATACTCCACTAGAGTGTCACTGTATAAAGCTATGTATGTAAGATTTGCTAAGTTTGTTTAATAAAATAATGTACTTGTAGGTTTAGGGAACTGAATATTAACATGAGCCATTGCAAATTTAGCCTGTAACAGCATATGCTCTTGCAACAAATATCCTGAGTGCACATCAAAGGCAGGGAGAATTTACATTTAAAGCATCCGTTTTCATTATTCAAACATATCCCACCTAGGTCTGTTTTCATAACTTCTGAAGGAGTCTCTAGACATCGAGAATACAGACTTTGTTAAGTGACTTGTCCTAAGCCCATATTCTTAAAGGATGTCACACTGCTTCTTAATACTCTGATTCAGTAGATTTTAACATTAGAGTTTAGTATTTGTACTATAGCTATGTCCTAAGAAACCTTCTCTATTTTCTATTTTCACCCATCATACAGAAAGTGAAGTTCCATATTAAATAACTGTCAGAATGATAAACAGAATAAAGAAATAAGTTGTTGATAAGTCAGATGTAGATCTCTCATTTAATAGACACGGCAGACTTCAATGTCAAACTAATCTCATTTTCCTGATTATACACGAGCTCAAAGTGACTTATAATACTTAGGGCTGGTTAGAAGGGAGTGAGTTAACAAAGGTCTGAGTATAACACAAAAAATGTAGTTTGACAATGTATTAATTTTTAAAGTTTTAATAATTACATAATTGATAAGTTTCTAAATGTTATTAATTATACCTAGAAATAATTCATTCAAATAATTTTTTAAATATCTGTGTGCATGCGCTCACATACATACACACAGTATATGTATTTTACATACATATTTTATAATAGCAAGCTCTGGTTTAAAATCCAAATATTGGTTAAGACATTCATTACCTTTGTGCTTAGCTATATAACTAAGAGATGCACGTGCTGCCATCTTGTGGCTGTCTGGTCATAATTATTTACTCCATCTGCATAGAAAATGAAAATGAAAACAGATTATAATAGTCCAGAAACTGGTAGCCTGAAGATTTTGACTAATGTGGAGGTAAATATCCACAGACAGGAGCAAACAACATAGGGTTGCTACTTGAGGGTGGTGAATAATATAGTGGTTCATCATGAGAAAAATATACCAAGATGTCAACCATCTTTTTACCTGCAATATCATGCCTATCTATTATCATCATCATCATCATCATCGTCATATTATCATTATCATCATTAATTTTGCAAAGGTGAAAACTGTTGATGAAAAGGTTACAATCGGGAAGATCTCCAAGTACTGGTCGGGATTTGTCAATGATGTGTTCACAAACGCTGACAACTTTGGGATCCATGTTCCTGCAGATCTCGACGTGACACTCAAAGCAGCAATGATTGGTGCTTGCTTTCTCTTTGTAAGTTTAATCTAAGCTGCATGGGTGAGTTTTGCCCTTATAAGCAAGACTGTATAGAGCAGATCCTCCTCTCCACAGTCTTGACCTGCAGAGGCTGCTGTACACACAGAGGCATTTTAAGATATGATCATCCTCCTTTGGAGATCAGAAGTTAGAGGTTTATTTTTACTCATGCTGGGAACACAGGAGTCAAGTAACATCTTTGACAAAATGCTTCACTAGCTCCTGCCTAAGGTCTCCCCCATCATGAACGTTTTGAACTCAAGAATCCTGTGTTGTTTTGTTTTGTTCTGTTCTGTTTTGTTTTCTCAAGCAAACCAACACCTTTTCTCTTTCTTCTGTTGTTATTCAGGATTTAAGAACCCAAACTTAACAATTACTTTATTTTATGCTGCTGTTGAATAAAGTCAGCCCCATTTATTGTGTCTCCTTAGTAAAAAAACATTAATTGAAAGTTAATTCCATAGTTTAATCTTTGATCGTCACAGAGAGTTAAGCATAAACACCAAATATTTATTCTATTCCCCATCCTATCACTTCCTGCTTACCTTTCCCATCTTTGGTCATCCCACACTTCAGCATTAACCTTTCAACACACACACACATACACACACACACACACACACACACATACACACACATACAGACATACATATACACATACACAAACATTCACACATATACACACATTCACACATGCACACACACACGTACACACACATACATACACACATACACACACATACACACACACACATACACACACATACAGACATGCATATACACATATACAAACATTCACACATATACACATATTCACACATGCACACACACACATACACACACACATACATACACACATACACACACATACACACACATCACACACATACACACACATACACACACACATACACACATACATACATACACACACACATACACACACATACAGACATGCATATACACATACACAAACATTCACACATATACACACATTCACACACGCACACACACATTCACTCACATACAATAAGCACCCACACAGAAAGACAAGAACACACAGTGGCATGCACTTACACACACACACAGGAAAACACAGTCTCATAAAAGTACACGTTTATATACTCTGTCTCTTGGGTATTCATTCATTCTTATCAAGTTGTTCACTTAGTTTTCATATTAAAATTTTCATTTGTCATCTTCTCTACTAACCTACTTTGCCAACAAGCTGCTGCCAAAACACTATTGGTAAACAATACTGTTTTCTCGATCTTAAACCTTTGTGATTTTTCTGTTTGTTTATTTTCAAAAACTGTCTAAATATTTGTGTTTTGACAAGTGTGTTTCCTATCCTTGCCTCACATTCTTTTAGAGATTGGTGTGATATAGAAGGTTGATTAGACCACACTCAATACGTAATATATCATACAATCTCTGCGTGACATGCATGCTTGTAAGTTCTCAGTTCTTACCTGCATACACCAAGCCAGTGCCTGAACATGACATTGAATGAGTCCTCTGTGCTCATAAACTAAAATGAAGACTGATCTAGATAGTTCCCCAGTTCTATGAATGGGTAAATTTTAAACTCTAGCAACTAAGAGACTCATATACTTATCTGACAATAGAAACAACTCCCAAAAATGTTGCTAAATCACAACCTCATGAAACGTTTGCAATGTTCACAATATATGTTTTGAGACAGCTTCTCAAATATATCTCTAACGTAAATAGCACACATTTTGAAGGTGATACCTGTTATAGCTTCTTCCTCTGCTTTCTAATGTTTACAATTGAATTTTACAGTCTTGACTACTCCAAAATTGGTGCTACTAAGATTACTTAGATTTAAGTTGATTGCATGTTTAAAATTTAACGTGTGAGAATCATGAGCCTTAAAAACACTACAATTTTTATTCTTCCAATAAATCATGCATTGCTGAAACACCACTGAGAACATCGCAGCTTCACATCATCAAAGCTGGCATGTCAAGCTCTTGATCCTAATTGTTGCCTCTTTTATAAATTTATTCATATCCATTTTATTTATTTGTAGGATTTTATGTTCTTTGAACATTCGCTTGCTGGATTATAACAAGCACGATGACGAAAACAATAAAACATGCAAAACACATTTCAGTAAGTAAAAGGCAAGTTTAAATGATCTTCTTCCTTTGAAGATGTCTATGTTTGACACTATCTAATTCTTTTTCATTTTTTTCTAGATGTCCCTTGGGCTCTGAGTTTCATTTCTGAATGGTCTGAGTATTTGATTTTTTTTATAACTAAATGTTAATTACTATATTTATTAAAACACAGTTTAATGAGACAATTACCTGGTTGTGAACGCGTGATAGCTAAATACGCAATTACTAGCATGAGTCCAAGGTTACTGTGAGAGATTATCATTCTCTTTTTATTCTTTTGAAGTCACTGCAATGGTAAGCATGAAAGATGAGAGCTAAGGCTTGCAGCATCACTGATGGGAATTCAGTGTTTAGAGAACACTTTGAAGTGTTGCTGGTACTATGGGTGGTTACTAATCAAAAGGCTTGAATTTCTAAAATATCTTTTCAAAAGTAGCTCCTTTTGACTTCCTTAATTTTATTTCTTTTTAAAAATTTTTCTCGTGTATTCTTAACGAATTAAAGAATAGGTGTTATTTTATAACGCACTTCATATTCTCTGAGAGAGAATCTCATATTTCTGAGACTTTTAATTTTCTTACTGTAGTAAATACATTTTACTTATTTTGGGAAAGTTGAAGACTGAGTAAATACTATGTGTAAGAATCTGAAGGAAGATGGATAGCTTCCATTTGTTCAAGTAGCACAGGCACAATCATATTCCATAAGGCAATTAACTAAAGCACTGAGCAGATTCATGCCAGAAATTTAAATAGCCATATAGAAAGACTCTAAATTACTGAAAGCAGCCTTCTCTACCAGGACTTTATCTAACTTCTATGAAGTTTCTGCCAGTTAAGGGATCTGAGACTTCAAAATGATAAATGGACAACTCTCATACTGAAAACAAACAGAAGCAAAAGAGTCAGACCTGAGTCCCTGCAACAGTACAGAAGTAAGAACACAAAGTAAATGTAACCAGTTCAGAATTAGCATCATGCTGGGGCACATATCTAATTCCCACACCCCACTTTTTCAAATGTTTCCAATGCCCTGGAGGCAGGCTCCTCCTCCTGAACATTCCTAAACAGGGCTGAACTGGGGGACAACAGTTCAAATACACGAACCTATGGAGGACATTCTCATCCAAACCACCACTTGAGTTCAAGGCCACACTGAGCTACAAAATCAAGTCCTACCTCAGCCTCATCCGCACTCCCTGCCAAAAGAAATTTCTTAATTAGACTGAAGCTGGTGTGCAGTATCTGATCTTCGGTAATTTTATTAACGACATCCCACATTGCCTTGCTGACATACATACTTTTGCAAAAATCAGTCTTTGTTTGATTAAGTACGTTTAAAGCTGGTTTTAATTGTTACCCACAGAAACGATAAGTTATCTATCAGATCTCTCCAAGAAGGGCTAGAGTTTTATTTCCAGACCCAGGAAGGAAAGTAATTTATAAATAAACAGAGCTGTTCATTTAAACATAGAGGAAAAGAACTGGGCAAGAGATAACAGCCTTCAAAATAGATTCTTCAAAATAGAATTCTTGCCAATTGAAAAAGAAAGCACAAAGTCTGTAAGTCAAACATGCTTGGCAAGTCTAATAGACACAGGAAGACTGTGGCTGGACTGTAGTCATCAAGTGGAGGTACAATGCCAATAGGTTCTAACAGAGTATTCTTTGTAACCCATAAAACCTTGAAACAAAAATCTAATACCTTCCTATGATCCACCAGTATTTCTCTATGAAGGAGAAGTTTTAACTGGTGTACTCATATGTGCCTATAATCTTGGAAAACAGGAGAACCTGAAGTTTGGAGCAAATATATTACAGAAAACTCAAGACAAGCCATGTCAATCATCAAAAGAGTGCCATAATCATCAAAACAGATTTCCAGCCCCTAAAATTTTGTTTTTATCCTTTTTTATTAAATTCTAAATTTTTATTAAATTTGTATTTTGACAATTTTGTACATGGGCACAATGTATTGATTACTCTCCAGGATTATCCTCACTTGCCTCTCGCATTAATCTCATCTCCTTTCTACAAGTACCTTTATGATAGTCAAGTGGTTGTTATTGGTTCTGAGACAAGATATGTTTACAGCCAGGGTCATCCATCGGTACAACTGTTTGGAGCTGTGTGTTAGAGCCTGTTGGGGTTACCAGTAGTTAAACAACTAATGGCAGTTACTCTCAATTTCCCAGAATTTATCAGTGGACACTAATCCAGTAGAGTGATCAGGGACTCTGAGGCCCTCCTCAATTCATGATTGACTGTTGTCAGCTCCACTCTTGTGCAGATACAATATAAACAACCTGGGCTTGAGTTCAGTTTTGGAATATTTATATCATGGACCTTTCTAGCCCTACTTCAGAACTATCTTCCAGCTCTTACATTCTTTCCATATCTTCCTCAACAATGTTTCTTGAGTCTTAGCAGAGGTGATAATAAATGTCTCTCTCTCAATTATGGCCAAGTGTTCAACCTTCATTCATGCTCAGCTTCTTGATAGGTCATGTGTGTTTTTTGCATTCACTGACTTTCATTGTAGAGAGGCCTTTCTGATTTAAGAGGAGAGTAACATTAGTCTATATCTATAAACACAAATAAGTAAAAGGCAATTTGACAGTGTGTCCATTTAACTAAACATAAGTAGGTTTTTTTCTGAGTGTGGATTTTTTAAACTAAGATTTGCAGTACCAAATATGAAAGTCCTCCAGAGGACTCCTATCAGAGAGCAGTTGTTTACCACCATAACAGCCATGTCACTATTGGACAATTAGGCACACATTTCCAGGCAGACATGTGCTGTAGTTTGTAGACTTTACAACTACTGGTCCCTCTTCTTCCCCAGCAACCTTCATGGTACCTTTGAGAACTATGAAGCATAACTAGCATGGATAAATCATCCATTTCAGTTCCACCTTAATTTTTCTGTGTCTTCGTTTCTTTGATGACTCCTTCATTTTTCAATAGTATTTTATTTAATCTCCACAAGCTTGTGTCTTTAAAAGTTTACTTTGCTACTGACTTTAAGATACATTCTATTGTGGCTAGATAGGATACAAGGAGTTATCGAAATTTTTTTCTCCACTTGTTGAGATTTATTTTATGTCCAAAAGTGTGGTCTATTTTAGAGAAATGTCCATGTACTACTTAGAAGAAGGTGTACTCTTGTAGTGATTGGGTGAAATATTCTATTGGTATTCATTAGGTACATTTGATTACTGATGTCACTTTTATTATGACATTTTTTCTTCTTAAATCTTGTCTGAATGACCTGCCAATTAGTGGAAGTAGAGTGCTGATGTTACCTAATGTTGTTGTATTGAGGTTAATTTGTAGTTTAGTACATAGTAGCATTTGTTTTGTGAAACTGGTTGCACTTAGTTTTGGTGCCTATGTGTTTAAGAATGTAATAACCTTTTGGTGGACTGTTGATTTGATCAGAATGAAATGATTACTTTCTCTATCTCTATTCATCAGTTTAGTTTTTTAGCTTAGTTTTCTAAGATTTTAGTATTGTAGTCAATGCCTGTTTCCTGGTTCCATTTGTTTGAAATACTTTTCCCCATTCTTTCATTCCAAAGTAGTATCTATCCTTGAGGGTAAAATATGCCTTGAGTAGACAACATAAAGGGTGGACCATGTTTCTAAATCCAATTGGCTAGCCTATCTCTTGTGATAGGGGAGTTAAGCCACTATTATTTAAAGTTATTATTGAAACTTCCATGTTGATTGCTGTCATTATATTGCTTTTGTTAGTACTAATCTGAACACTACTTACTGTAGCATCATTTGCTTTCTTTCTGTAACATCGTGGATATGGTTATATTTCCTGTTCAGACTAAAGAGTCCCTTTCACATTCTCACTGGGCTACTTTTATGGACATAAAGTTCTTTAGCTGGTTTTTAGTTAAAGTAAGTTTTATTTTCCTCTCAATTATGAGAGAGAGCTTTGGCAAATATCACAGTCTAGTTTGACATATGTGGTCTCGGGACTTGAAGAACATTGCTATAAGTTCTTTTAAAGTTTCCACTGGGGGGAAATAGCTATTATTATGATAGCTTTGCCTTTATAGGTGACTTGTGACCATTCCTGTAGCTTTCAATATTCTTCATTTGTTCTGTATATTTAATGTTTTCATTATGATATGATGTAGGACTTCTTCCTCCCCGGGCCTATTTTCTGTTTTGTGTGCTTCTTATATATATAAGGGCATTTACTACCTATTTTTGGAAATTTTTTCTTACATTAACTTTTTGAAGATATTTGTAAGTGTTGACCAGGATTCTCCCCTCACATTCTAACCCTGTAATTCATATCATCCTAAAGATCCTGCATATTACATTGGTGAAGGTTTTGAAAACTACCCCCTTTTAATTGCAGGATTCCATTTGTCTGCCTTACCTTCCACCCATGCTATTCTGTCTTCTACATAATCTGTTCTGTTGGTGAGACTTTCCACTGATACTTTTTCACAGACTTACTGAATTTTCCATTTAAGTTTAGGTTTCCTTCTGTATTTCTATTTACTTAACATACTCCTCATATCGTGAATTGCCTTTATTGTATATTAAACCATTTTTTTTATGTTTTCTTAGACTTAATCAGAGTTTATTCTGTCCTCTTTAAATTCACTCAGGTGCTTACCCATGTCTTCCTTGAATTAGAATTCTTCAAGCGTGTTTATAATTTTTTAAATCTGCATCTTGAGACTTACCTACATTGTTGTAGAATATTGCTGTAAAATTGATTATTTTTGTGGGCATATTTTGGCTTGGTTGTTCCTATTGCTTGTGGGTTTTTTATTGTTGTGGTTTTGTTGTTGTTGTTTTATACAGTGACCTGTGAGATTAGAGTTAGGTTTTTTCTTGTCTTGCCCACCTGTGTTGAGTGGTAGTTTGTTTGTTTGTTTGTCTGTTGCCCTGACTTGGTTTTGCAAAAGGTATGGGGGGTGGGGCTTGAAATTCAGTCTTTTCATTACTCAATGTGGAGAGGCTAGAGTGATTCCAGTTCAGGGGCTAATAGAGTCCCAAGAACAGGTAATGTAGAAGACAGAATAGCATGGGTAGAAGGTAAGGAATCCTGCAACTAAAAGGGAGTAGTTTTCAAAACCTTCACCAATGTAATATGTTGGATTTTTAGGATGATATGCATTACAGGGTTAGAATGTGAGGGGAGAATCCTGGTCAACACATACAAATATCTTCAAAGAGTCAATGTAACAAAATTTTCCATATCTAGGGTAATAGATGCCCTTATAGGTATAAGCTTCATGTATACTTGCTTAGGCAAGGTTCTTGGGGCATATAATATTGGGTCCTGTGTGGTATCATTGGTGGACACATGAGGGCTCCTGTGCCAAAGTCCCATGACAGGCAGTAGGAAGGGTCTGAGTTATCTGACCACTACTGACCTTGACTTAGAACTGAAAGGATGGGGCTGGGTGGGTCCAAGGATGTCTTTCTACCTGGAGCCACCTTTATGGATGTTGGTT